CCAATTCCACCCAGGTGAATAGATTCAGAATCAAAGCAGTCTTTGTCCTATTGCAGACAACGAGAGCATTTGAGATGTCCAACATACTAAAGCAATTTTATAATTAGACAGTTTTTTGGTTGTCCTTGGGGTACCCCTTTCATTGTTCTTGCAGCTCCCCTTTTACTGTGTGCCTCTTACGCACAAGGCTGCCCACGTTGATTGTGGTTGAGTGGCAGCTGCCCACATCCCTGTGTGCCTTCACGGTCCACTTGCACGTTATTTCAGGAGGCAGAGAAAGGGAAGGTATGCTCCTGTGCATCTCTTCAGAGCTTCATACTCCTGTTCATTTCACTTCAGATCTTCAGCTTATACAGCCTTGTGTCCGTCCTTCATCTTCATACTTCCGTTCATTCCATTTCTGAACTTCATATCGTCTATTCTCTTAATGATGCTTATTCGTATGTTTTTGTTAGTAGTACAAAGGGAGTGGAGGGAGGGTGGAGGGTAAGGGATAGAAGGTAAGGGACAGAAGGCAGAGTTCTCTAGGAGTATGGGGCAGGGGAGGTAGGGGCAACGGGAAGGAAAAAAATATGTGGGTAAAAAAAAAAAAAACACTACTATGGCGAGTGGCCACCCCTACAGACCGGGCAGGACCGGTTCGGGTGTGGGCTATGGACGCACCGCATCCAATTTCGCAGTCACAGTTGCTGCATCGAATGGCATGACGCAGACAGATGTCACAGGCTACGTGGCTCGTACATGCTAGGAACACAGAGGCACGTCGACCGCAATCATAGAGGCATTGTCGTTCCAGCCCCTGTCTACAAATTGGACATGACATGTCGGGGTGCCGTACATGAGTGCAGTACTGACTGTCATCGTACGTATGGAAGCAAATGTGTGTGTGTGTGTGTGAGAGGGAGAGAAAGTGTGTGTGTGCGGGTGAGAGAGAGTGAGAGAGAGAGTGTGTGTGTGTGTGTGCGTGCAGGTGAGAGAGAGACAGAGAGAGAGAGTGAGAGAGTGAGAGAGTGAGAGAGAGAGAGAGAGAGAGAGAGAGAGAGAGAGAGAGAGAGAGAGAGAGAGAGAGAGAGGAAGGGGGGGGCAAGGAGAAGGGAAGGGGTTCAAATTTTAAAACTTCAAAATTTGTAAATCTTACCCTCTATTAGGGAGGGTGCTTAACTGTTTAATTTTTGAACATCAAAATTTTTGCACATCTTACCCTTTTTTTTAGGAGGGAGGGGTTTAGCGCTACAAAATTTGGAAACATTACCCTCTTTTCTATCAGTTGCTTGTCCAGCATGTTGACCATCTCAACCCTAAGGTCCTCCTTCCTCTGCTTCAGCTGCTTCTCTCTCTCTTCCAGCTCTTTCTGCCTTGCCTCAAAATGCTTTTTCACCAACGCCTCATTCTGTTCATCAACCCAACAATTAAGAATTTGGAAGAATGTTTAGAGAGCTTTAAGAAAAAGCAGGGGCAAGGAGGGTGGGGGGGGGGAGGAGCGGAGGGGGACGGGGGGAGAGGAAGAATCCAAACAATGGGCAAGGAAAAGACGTTTAAAGAACAATTGCTCGTCGTTTGATGCCAGCTAGAAAGGCCTTTTTCTGGTGAATCCTTTTTGGGGGGGGAGGGGGGCGCAGCGGGTAGTTAGAAATTAATCATTTTTAAATTTCAATTATTAAATAAAATAATGAATAATATATTGAATAAAGGAACAGAGAACAATGACATGGACTGCTAAACTGGTCAGATTACTTGAATTATTAAGTTGAATTATTAATTTATTAAGTTGAATAAGGGTTGAGAGCATGGTAACCGGCCAAAAGTCTGGACAGGGATCCCGAGTCCAGACTTATTGGATCCGGTTGTCTGGGTCCGGTGTCTGCTCTGGTAGGTCTGGATAGGGTCCCCCCAAAGGAACTTTGGAAAAGAAAAGGGAAGCACCTAGACCTTTTCCGTGTCCAAGGCACACCGAAAAAAGGGTACTGCATTTTTCAGTCACTTTTCAGCCGAACAGACTACGCCAGACACTGCAACAGTTGGTGAGGTGGGATCGGGTTGGCACCTACAATTGGCTGCCAGACCAGGGCAGATTCACCCCGATTTTTCAATAATTGTTGCAGGGCGGATTGTTGTTCCGGCCCGCATTGTCGTTGGCCCTGCGAGAGCAGCTGCCACCCCACACGCCGCTGGCCTTTGAAGTAATACATGACGAGGAGTAGGAGAGAAGAGTGAGGCCCTATCGTGGAGAGGAGGACAAGGGGCGCAGGAGGAAGGAGTGCGGCCATAGCGGTGAGAGGAGGATGAGCGGTGCAGAGGAGGGTGGAGTGCGGCCATAGCAGTGAGAGGACTAGGGCTGCGGAGGAGGACGAGTAGGGAGGGGTATTGCTATGGCGGTGGTGGGAGCAGGAGGACAAGGGGCGATGGGGAAGAAGAGGTGGGACATCGATGAGGAGGGGGAAGAGGACGAGAAGCAAGTACCGTGGTGGGTGGTTTTCTGTGCCTTATCTTGTTTCTAGCGTGTTTCAATTTTTCTTTTTTTTATGCCTTCCTCCCACCCCTCCGCGCCCCCCCCCATCCGGATGTTTCAGGGTTCCCTGGAATCCATCCGCACGGTCCTGTTCCACTATGGTCTGGATGTCTGGTGCCTGTCCGGTTTTCTGGGTGTCTGGGCAGGTCCAGAAGTATCCAGTGCCCCCACGTCTGTGGCTATCATGGTTGAGATACTTGTTAAGTGTTGTCACTGCTTTATGGGCTATATGGATGACCACCAACTATCTTATATAGAGACTGAATTATTAATTAATGCTGAGACTCAATAGTGGGTGGTGAAAAAGCCTCAAAAGCCCTTTCCTTATTTCTTTTCTTTTTTAAGTTTTTTTCTCGTTCTTTTTTTTTTTTTTTTTGCCCTTGCTCTTTTGTTTCTTCTCCTTCTCCTTCTCCTTCTTTCTTCTTCTTCTTCTTCTTCTTTGGATCCTTGGCTAGGTTCGCCAAGGTGGTGTGAGGTGACTGGAGATCTTGGATCTCTCATATGTACCCCCACCAGAGGGTTTTTTGGCTTCTCAAGGGGTTAACCGTACGACACTGTGAAGTAGATTACCTCTCCCTATCATCCCCCGGACGTGTGTTTTTTTAACTGTCCCTAACAAATATTAGAAGTTGTAGGCACCTGACACTGACCGCACGCCCTTACTCGCGCAAAAAAGAATCTGAAACGCGTCGAGGATTTGCGTGATGTAATGCGGTGTTTGGCAAACATTTCTTGAGTTATCTCTGTGTGATCTTGCCCTCCGAAAGAACAGTTCTTTGTCTGTTTGCTTGACCTTGACTTCTTCTTCTTCTTCTTCTTTCCAGATTGACTTTATTGCCCAAGAATCAAGATTTGCCTGGAGTTGAGGCATACTGTGTCTGACTCAGTTCTTCTTTAATTTGACCTTTTTTACTTCAGTTTGACTTCAGTTTGACCTCAGTTTCACTTCAGTTTGACTTCAGTTTGACCTCAGTTTGACCTCAGTTTGGCTTAAGTTTGACCTCAGTTTGACTTAAGKTTGACTTCAGTTTGACTTCAGTTTGACTTCAGTTTGACCTCAGTTTGACMTCAGTTTGACCTCAGTTTAACCTCAGTTTGACTTAAGTTTGACCTCAGTTTGACTTAAGTTTGACTTCAGTTTGACCACACCTTGATGAGATTCTGATGTCAGCTACAAGTGAAGCTAATGCCAGACAAGAAATGCAAAAAATAAGATGGCAGTAGGAAGTGGAGTAAAGAAGCAGGAGAAGGAAGGGGGGGACCACTTATCCTTTTTGAGGAGAGGTCAAAGACTCGTGAACTGATCTATACATTGCTCTCCAGTGCGGAAATGCATTTACATTTCAATTGGTGACTGTAAAATCGCCATGCGTCACCAGCGGTATTTTTTTGACTTTTAAAGTTAAAAATAAAAACTTGGAAGTTACCAGCTCCTTGTACACTTGAGAGGCAGCAATTGCTGCTGCGGCTGACTCAATCCTCTTCTTCGCTTCCTCCGACTTCGCCTTCCGCATCTCCAGCCTCAGCATTTCCTAAATCGGGAAACGAAATTGTCCAAATGGCACATCCAAAACGGTCCGATTTGCATTCATTAATGAAAAAATGGCATTCTGCCGACTTCACCTGAATAGAATACCCGGTCATTATCGCTGTATGTAGAGAATTTTAGACCGAAAGTTGCTCCAAGATTCCAAATACAGCTATAAATGTGTTCTATTTGGGTGAAGACGGTAGTACATAAGTCGTCTCTAGTAGTACTCATTACATGTTTTTATTTTTTTTTAGATTTCTGTAACCATTCTTATCCGAAATGACAGGCTTCTTAAGGCTTCCCACTTTTGTGATCGACGTCTCGAGCTATTTCTAATGTCAAGCTGAAGTCTTGTATGCTGAAAGATGATAAATTACGCAACTAGTTTTGGAAAAGCATAGATATCTTTATCCAAGAATAGTGCAAAAATGAAGATTACCATCACTTACACATATAAATGGAACCCCYCCCCCCCCGCACCCCCCACAAAAAAAAAAGAAAAAAAAAAAAGAGAAGGAAATAATAAAAAACAAAGTAAAGACGATACAGAGAAAAAGAGAAAAAGAAAATTGGAAACAATTTAGGCAATTCTTAAACAACAAGTATTATTCCCGGCTAGGCCTCCTGTACCTTCTAGTCAACATGGTGTTGTGGAAAGCCCCAGGCTACTCGGTGGGCCTTTCCCTGGGATAGTTTTAGCAAATTTAGGCATGGGAAGAATCTAGCGTCGGGAAAAAGGGTATCAAGAACAGTGGTGGTTTAAAGTTTAAACATTCAAAACAACAAATTATGGAACCACACTTGCAACCGCACAAGCTGCACGGCCATGCGGTGTGGTGCGCCGTGCAATGCGCGGAACTCGCCTCGTGCACCACGCCAGCAAATGTTTTTTTTTTTCCTTTCTTTTTCTTTTTTCTTGTTTTTGTAGATACAGAATACTGTACTACCCAAGGAACAAATCCTATTCGAGTACAATCGTACAAATATTTCTTTTCGTCCCATTGGGCCTCATAAATAGCCTCAAATAGGTCTTTGGGGCATTAGTCTTGTTTTTTAAGTGGCGAAAAAGCTGCAAAATTGCTCTTCCAACTTTTTTTTGTTTTCCCTTCCTACAACAAATTTTCAAAGGGGCCGCAGGTTATCACTGATTCAGCCCTACAAACCGTTTTTTCCTGGGTGGCTATTTTCTTCGTGCGCCGCGCGGATCCGGTGCACTTGTGCGCCGCACAGTCGGAATTGCTCACACAGGGTGCACTTGCAAGTATGTATAGAACATAAAAAGTTTGCTTTGCCAAAATTTTTATCATATCAGCATAGGAGCGACTACAATGTACAACAAAGGAAAAATGAATGTTGTAACGATCATATGAGCACCTAGTACAAAATACTACAAAGCTTATAATAATTGTTACGAAAATTCATTTGAACATATACAAACTATTATAAAGAATTCAAGCAGATTTTCTAAAATCTTATAATAGTGTAGTAAGTTAATAATAACTATGAAGAACTTTGAAATCGATTCATAAAGCACTTAAACAAGAATAAAGAAACCACATAAAAAGAAGATCTCGTTTTGCAAAATAGGACAACAATCGATTGTTCAAGCAATTAACTGATAAGAAGTAGAGACTTAAACTCAAACATGAAGAGTTTAGCGGAGCAGTTGCCAAAGGTCATTTGGTTATATACCGTCAATGAGGCACGAAGCACTGACGAATACGCAATCACAGGATTTGTTTCCCTCAATAACAAGAAGGTCGACAAAGCCGCCACAATAGGTAGGGAGAGAAACCAACCCTGCCAGGAACTGAAGGGATACAACCACAAATTACATAATGATGACTCCATGAGCATAAAAAATACATTCTTCTAGAAGTTACCATTGATGGGAATTAGAGATTTCGTGCCAAATTCTTAAGCTTGCACATAATCATATGTATTCAGAATGATAGTCAATACCACTTACCTCAACCATCATTTCGTATATATGATTATTCAAACAGTTAATTGAAGTGATAAAAGTTCATAAAACGAAGGAAACATTGACAAAAACTACTCGGTCGTATAATATAATTTATATGCATTATACCACGAGCAAACAATGGGATTCTTTTTAAAACTTTACAGTGTTTCCACCGATATCAATTACTGACAAGTTTTTGCTCTTTAGCATAATCATATATATTCAAGATAATGGTTGACGACACTTGCCAGATAGAGCTTGCGTCCATTTTTTTAACAGAAGCCCTATAATTGCCATCATCATGCTCGATGACCTCAGTGTGAGGAGGCAAGAAACATTCACATAAAACCACCACTCCTGAAGACTTAATATAGTTTATAATGCTTTATATTTTACATTTAAATGTGAGTTATGTTCTTTAAGCTTGAATTCCGGTTGTGACCTATCTTCTTTAAGCTAAATTCAAGTTGCCAGTTATGTTCTCTAGGCTTAAATAAAATTTCACTAGAAGTGGGGATTCTGGGACACATGCTTAAAGTATTTGGCATCGTTCTTTTTCTTTTGGATTTGTTCACTTTTCTTTTGGGTGTTGAATTCATATTAAGCTTTACCTTATTTTCGTTGACGATATTATGCTTTTGACTTTTTTATGATTCTTATGGGAGCTCGCTTGCTAGAAATGGATATGTCCACCCCCACCCCACTAAAACCAGTTATCTCCCATACAACTTCGAAAAAGGAAAACCTCGTCTCTACAACCTTATTGTCAAATCCATCGAAAAGACCTATTGTGAGTATGCCCTCAATTTCTGGTTTGTAATGTAAGAATTCACCTGCCGATAATGGATATCTGCAAAATCGTGCATGCGCTTTTTGTCCTCTTCGTTCTGCTTCTTTTTTAACTCCGCTTTGAACTTTCTGTTCGCCATGTCACTCTCAAGAACACGGTCCATGAATTCCTTCGTCACCGCCTTTTGTTTCTGCTCTACTTGTTTTTGCTCCTGTCCTTCACCCCAGATCCAAAAACAAAACCACCAGAATAATTATTATTGTGGCAAATTGGCAATTATTGCTGGTCATATTTATCATTGTGCCACCTAGGCTACCAGCCAGGCCGCCCAGGTCACCTTGTTTGCCCGGGCTATGGTCAGTCACTTGCAAAGTCCTCTGCACTATACAACGGTCAATCATTTATACAGCCCTTCAAGGCTTTGAACCACTCTGTACTACCTGAGTTAGCCCGAACCCGATGAGCATCTCATCTAGGTTCATGCTAACCAAAGTATTGTAGGGCAGCACAGCAAAATGGTTGTCCTAATGAGACACAGATGTTTAAAATGGGAGATAGGTTGAGAACTCGAGTGTTTTTCAGGTCCGAAAATTTGGTCGAAAACTTCAGAATCTTTCAGCTTGGTTGATGGCTTCCAGCACAATAAAAAAGAAAAAAAAAGTCAGCATCAAGAATGTGATAATGAGGGCAAGAAGAGAGTTTGGGCTCACATAGTACTGGCTGTCTTTTTTTTTTTTTTTTTTTTTTTTTTTTTTTT